GTCTGTCTGTCTGTCTGTCTGTCTGTCTGTCTGCCTACCTACCTACCTACCTACCTACCAGTGGTGGGATTCAGCCAGCTTGCACCTATCCGGGAGAACTGGTTCTTAAGTAAGTAGTAGTAAGAAATCTCATTTTGTCCCCCCCCCCCCCACTTTACAGAGCTAATCCTGTAAAGAAGGCAGGAAGGAAACATTCTGGTGTTGTTTCTAGCTTAATCTTTATTACCCTGCTTGCAGAAACTGCCGCTCCAGTTAACCCTTGTTACATTGTAACAGCTAAGACGAAGCGCCCATCAACCTGAGTGACATTGAGTTGGCCACGCTCACCCAGTCACATGACCACTGATCCCCGCCTACCCAGCTGGTCATCAGGGCAGAGAACTGGTTGTTAAATTATTTGAATCCCACCACTGCTACCTACCTACCTACCTACCTACCTATTTACTTATGCATCTATCCACCCATCCATCCATCCTATCTATCCCTCCCTAGTAGTGCATTCTTTTGCATAAACATTTATGAGAGTTAGAGTTATGTTATTCCTGAGGGTGGATGGATAGATCTTATAAAATAATGTGCCAGAAACAATACTGAAGTGGATTCTAATCCAAGAGGTTCTTTTGTAAGGTGCCACTAAACAATTATTGCTGCAAAAGACTTCAGTCAACTTACTCCATGGAAACTAAACATTTTTTTTCTTTCCAAGAATAATGTTGTTTTTTGAAATTCACAGGTCAGCCAGTGTAATAATGATAAAGCTTTGGAATGAATACATTCGCCCAGATAGTTTTTGTCAAAGCTGCTCAGATTGTAAGCAGCGCTTTGAACAACTTAGTCGGAAAGAACAGGCTTGTTAATTAGGTAATCAGAGTTCTTTTCTCTGGTTATCAAGAAAATGCTTATCAGGCTGGCCTTTGTAGTTCAAGGACTACTTCATGCTCCCTATCAGAAAGGAACATTTTCTAAAGAGAAATTTGGTTGCAACACAGTTGCCTCAAAAGGGAGATTAGATTTGGCTAAAGCTCTCACTGTACCTGACAGTTTTAACGCTCCCCTGTTTTACTGTTCCAAAAAATAAATCTCTTATTACTGAAATATACTGTCTATGATGCTCCTCCCTTTTACAGTAATGATTCTATAGAGGGATTCCAAGCAGGACTTCGCTATGAAGGATGAATAAAAAGCTGAAGACATTCCCATCCACCCCCAGCCATCTATTTCAGTTAAAATTCAAGGCCTCAGCATTAGGCAGAAGAAGAATTTACAGTGCAATGCCATGGATATTTTCTGGAAAGTTAATCCCATTTGATTTAGTTTTATCCTGAGGAAAGTTAAGTTATAGAACTTTTATTGGTAGCATGCTTCTCCTAGGAAGGAGCAAACTGTAATTGCTTTACGCAGATTAAAATAGTAATTAACCTTGTTTGGACCTTAAAGACAATTTTAGCAATGTTTTAAGGTGTTTTTTTTTGTGGCTCACAGTCCACCTTATCAGTATATGGCAAAAGCTTACATCATCATCATCATCATCATTTTTAAGGTGCCCGGTTTTAGGCTAAAGTGCCTCTTCCTCTGGAAGTTTACCCAGATTAGGCTATCACTGGCTTAATATAGTAAATAGGAGCTTCTTGTTAGCAGTCAGGCAAAGCGTAGGAGTTGAATGGATGGCCTCACCGAGAATTCCTTCTGCCTTTGAAGATTTAAGCAGTTTGGAATTTAGCAGGCTGAAAAGGGAGAAGTGAGCCACGCAGCTGCTTTACAAAGTTTGTGCACATTTGGCGGCAAGTATTGGGAAGGAGAGTTCCATGGGGGAAGCATGACA